TGTATATATCCTTTATGTTTACATGGGGTGTGTAATACCATGTAGTATAGAGTAGCTCTTGACCTTCTTCAGGTAAAAGATTGTACAACTGTGTGGGAGATTACAATAAGGATGAGTCATCTGATGGGACTAAGCTTTGGAAAGTGACCTCATTCAATCTGAGCATTAACTAATCAACTGAAAAAAAAAACAAAAAACAAACAAAAAAAAAATTTTGATGAAAAATATATTAATGAAGTAACTGTTTATCTCAAGAGCTTGTGCTATGAAAAATGAAATTCTGGAGAGATGACTTAGTGGATCATTCTGTAACTTTTAATTTCATCTTACATATAGATATTTTAAATAGAATGTAGACTAACAGTGACTGAATAGCTATCAGTACCTCCTGTCAAATGAATTGTGCAAGAATGAAGAGTACTGTGAAAATAGTGTTGTTCTTCTCCATCTTTTTCGGAGACAGAGGATTTGGTCCTTAAAATTGCTAATGTATCAGTTTTATAATATCATTTTCATTGCTATTTCAAAGTATAATATGAAAATAGAGAGTTTTGTCTCTTCTGTCTTGCAGGCTGTTTATCAGATAATTAGATGACATTGTTCCTATAGCATGTACCAAGTAATTTAGTAATAATATTAACTCATGCTTCCCACAGTGAACTATGCAGATGGTACATGCAGTCTCTTTATCAGTGTAAATTCTCAGAGTAAAAGCAGTGATAGCCAGGCATGCTGAGAAGAGAGATTGAAAGATACCATTTGTATTATTCTTCATATGAAATCAATCAAAAATAGTGGGGAAAAAAAAAGGCAAAGACAACTTAGTGTCACTGTTGTGAACTGAGAAATGCTTACGAAGAGTGGCATTGAATATATTTATTTCTCTTAATACTCCAATCTAATCATGATGGTGAGCTCTGCACTTAGAAAAAAAGATACATTAAAAATGTCTTTTATCCTGGGGCTTTTCAAGATGGCATTTTTGGAACTTTATTAGCAAACAGGCAGCTTTTAAATTTTAGAGCGAGTCTGAGTTGCACAGCAGTCATCTTTTACTTCTATTTCCCCAGAAGTTTTCTACTAAGTTATTAACATGAAGGCACATTTTGTTACTATGAAACTGCATGGATTTTCAGTTTGGATGTATGATGCTTCTTAAGTTTACTGCTTTTTTTTAACAGTTTATCACTGTGATATGTCATGTTTCTAATGGAAACAGAAAACCTGTTATGTTCTAGCTAAACTGCTGGAGGCTATCATACACAGCTTTGCAGTTCCAAGGTCATTTCGGGATTCATTCTATAGCTCTCCAGATACCCACCAGTTCCTAACAAGCAGAAGTGAACATATTAAAAATATAAGTTCAATTCAGGGAAAAGAAAGCATTGGTAATTCCCTAGTTTCTGCAGAGGTGATTACTAGTCCTCTTTGTATTGTGTAAGAACAAAGGAAATTTTCATTCAAACAGAGCAGGAGGTTTACATTAGCTGTAAAAATAGATTAGTGATGTCATTTTCAGTAAATAGTAGGCCAGTAGGAAAATACCTTATGCTATGGCTAACTAAGTTCCTGTGGTAGCTGTCTACTTCACATGGGCAAGAAAAATGTGGGCTTTTAGGGGTTTTACTGATATGATATATTATTTAATACTGGGAATAATAAGAATTGATAGGTTTTGTCATGCTCTTCAGCATTTGATTTATGATTTATGGAGACTACATGGCTCCATAAGAGAGCTTTAGTTTTATGTGAAACACAGGCTTCATGAAGAATGCCATAATACACTTCTGTCATACCTGTGTCATATGATAAGTGCTAGCTCTGAATTTAATCCTTATGAGAAGTATGGAGTCCATGAGCAGAGGACTACTGTTATTGCTAGAGTGAAAAGTAACTAGAAAGTATGACAAAAAAACTGGGAGTCCTTTTTACTGCTGCGTTAGTTGCACTAATGCTTGAATTTTATCTTTTCTGAATAGTACAACTGTTGCCTTTAATGTATTTGTCTTTTGCAGTACTTTCCATTTCCTCACCCTTTGGGATAGCTGTAGAGTCCCCAGGACAGTACATTGTCTTCTGACTAGATACAAAGCTGAGAGCAGAGGTCTGGGATTGGGAACACTTAATAGCAGGGGGGCATAACAGTGTTAGAGCTAATGACTGGATGGAAGAGGATCTTTATTTCTCACTGGCTAAAGCAGCCAGAACCAAGGGACATTGCTCTGTCGGTCTTACAGCTGTCCACACTGCTCCATCCTTGGAAGCTCCCCTCTCTTTCCCCTCTGGTAGCTACCACCCAACACACCTCACCTATGCTAAACACCAGCCGACAGCCCTGGCACGCAGGTTGCTTTGCTTTATTTACGCTGCACAGCTTCTCATTAAGGCTACATCTCCTTTCCTGTTTCCGATAATGAGGCATGGCCCTTGGTTCAGCTCTAATTTACGTATTTTACTTAGCACAGCTGTGGTCAGAACAGCCAGTAGCAGTTTAGGAAGCTGCTTCAGCATTTGTTGCTGGAGACTTCATCCTGCCTCCTGCTTCTCATACTTGCCTGTTGAGGGCAATCTCCCCCTCATGCTACTGTATATCTTCTTTCCCCTTTCCACTAAATATTTTTTCTGTTTTTTGCACCTACTCTTATCTTTCTGCTTTCAAAGGCTACTTTTCCCATGTTACTTGTTCACCCAGACAATTTTTTAGACTTCACATGTAATTCTTCATAACTTTTACCAGTAAATGAGTTTGTTTACTCTATATCAATTATGTATTAACTGTCACCTAAATGCTCCTACCATCCTCAGATAACTCACTATTTCCTGCAGAGATGCAGAAGAAGCACCTCCTGCTCAGAACATTCTGCTGCCTGCACAGCAGCGCCTCAGGGATTCCTGCCCAAATGCTCCTGCTGTCCCTGCTGAGGGAAGTCAGGGCTCCATGCCCAAACCTTCCTGCTCTCCCTGCTGACGTACCTCAGGGCTTCACTTGAGTGCTTCTGCTATTCCTGCTGAGGTAAAGCAAGGCTTCCCAGCCAAGTCTTTTTCCTGTCCTATCTGAGTTACCTCACGGCTTCCCACTAAAAATCCTCAGGGCTGTTTGCTCAGGCACTTGCTGAGTCTGTCTGAGTCTATATGTTGCCCTCACATGTAGTACAAAAATCTTATGTAGGCTCCTTGTTTCTTGTAGCTTTCTACAGCTTTTTCAGCAAAATGAACATTATGCTTTTCCTTTGATTTTTCACTTGCAGATACAAAGGTATTCACTAGATTATTTAAATGCGAGAGGTTGGTTTTGTTTTTTTTTCAGACACTGTACTTGGCACAACTGCAATCATGATAATTTTGTCCTTGTTGTAACTTAAGTTAGGACTGCTGGGTTTCATTGAGCCAGCCGGGAGGTTGCAATGAAATGCTTTTTGAATTCCAGTACTCTGACCCTACTTGTCATAGAATCATAGAATTGTTTGAGCTGGAAGGGTCCCTTAAAGGCCATCTACTCCAACTCACCTGCAGCTCCATCAGGTGCTCAGAGCCCCATCCAGCCTGACCTTCAATGTCTCCAGGGATGGGGCATCCACCACCTCTCTGGGCGACTTGCTCCACATTTATTTTAAAAAACTTTTTCCTTATATCTAGTCTAAATCTCTCTTTTTGTCTGAAACCATTTCTCCTTGCTCTATCACAACAGATAGTGATAAATTGTCTGTTCCCTACATGTATGATCTCCACTCACCTGCTTTCTGGCATATGCAGCCATCCTGAAGATGTAAGCATTATGAAGAAGCACAGGATCACAGAATTGTAGAGAAAGAACTTCTGGGGATCATCCAGTCCAGCCCCTAAGAAAAACAGAAGCCTTTTAGCAGTACTAATAATTTTGAGATCGAGTCTTAACTCTTCTGTTCAGTAAGGTGACCTTTGTAGTCCTGAAACGTGCATCAATGGTTCCTGTGCAACTTGTGTTACATGCATTAGATAACACCAACAAAGTTAATGATACATTCCACATTCATGTTCGTAATCTCTAAGGCCTCACTGGATCCTACGTGTAATATACAAGGAAGCTAGTTATGCTCACTTGTATGGTTTAAGTAAAATGAGAAGCTTGTGACACAAACTTAAACTATATGCAGTCCTGCTTAAGTGACATTATCCTGGACTGTAAGTTTTTAACAGAAACAATTATGATCTTAATTTTTTTTTTTACACAGTGTTGAATATTGTGACTTTTCCAAGCATGCTTTGTGCTCGGAAGTTTGTGTATCTGAAAATATTAAGCAATTAAAACAAATTTAGGAAATGAACAGCTGGGATTATAGCTGGGTGAACGGACTGATAAGTGGATCTGTCTGCACTGCGTGACACAACCCAACGGTTTGGTCTTACTCCTGTTTTCCTTAATAAACTCTGTGCCTCCCATGGAATTAACTCTATCCTATTAGCGGTGATGTCAACTACTGCAGTGATGGCAGGTTGCAACATAACATGGTTCTGAGAGCACAGCTACCACGTTGGGAAGGATGCCTACTTCCCAGCCATGTGTGTGTCGCAATGATTCCTGCTTTCTAGCTGCTGAGGAGTTCAGCACCAACAGAGAGCTATTAAATAGGTTCACACGCTCACCTGAATCCTCCACGTTTGGTTTGGACTTCATCACTTTTCTATTGTGAGAATAAATGTTCAGTTATTCGAAGTGGAAAATATTTTCACTTGCAACCATGGAACCTGAAACCCATCCATGTCGTCTTGTTTGTAAATGGGACAAGGGGAAGATATGTAGGGTGATAGGGTGACAGCAAGGAATGGACAAAACACTTGTCTGCACTTTGTCATCTCAATGGGTTTGGAGCTCAGCCTGGGGGAGGAGCAGCCTTGTATCCTCACGCGCTTAGCTGCGCTGCCTGGCTTTTACAAAGGAGGTAGAAAAATCAGTAGTATGGCTGCGTGCCTGGAGTTGTCTAAACTTCTTTTCAATATTTTTGTTTTTCTTTCCTCTACAGATCATCTCCATAGGAGCAGCCCTGCCCAGCACTCAGCATATGGTGGAGAAGCTCTGTTGTGATACAGGGAATGGAGCAGCTCTCAGGCAGAAGGAAGCTGAGGAAGCGCCTGTGCGTGGCCTTCAGGTGAGAAATGAGAAATGCTGGGAATACTGGGGGTAACCTGGAAGTGGTTACAGAAACGTCTTGATTGTGTTGTATTTCATGCAAGTGACTTGAGTTCTTGGGTATGAGGGAAGAGGGTGCAAATAGGAGCCACAGCACCACCGAGCACTGTTTGGTTATCATACCTGGAAAATAAGTGCACTGGGAGAGACAAAGGATGCTGAAGGTCACAGAGCTCTGCTCTGAGGCTCTCTAGATGTCAGCCCAGCATGTTGTGAATAAACTACAGTGGCAGCAGCTGTTTGCCGTGTATGTAAACTGTCAAATGCTCAAGGAATAAATGCCTTTACTTTCACTGGGTCTGCTTTGAACATATGAACACCTTTTAGAATTTAATGAGTTGGGAAAAAAAAAATAAAAACGTCGACTAATTATAATAAACAGGATGAATATGGAAACAGTTTTAAATGTTCTGGAAAGAGTTCTTGTTGAATATAAATAAACTTCGTGTTGGTAAATGCAATGCTATAACATTCTGACCTGGGTCTGGGCTAATGGTAGGCGCAGAATGGATGAAACCTTTAATTATGTCTTGAGGTGCCACTTCAAAAGCAATTTTATAAGGGAAGGTATTTCCTTATCTAGTTCTGAAGAAAAAAAATAAATGCTAGCACTAAACATGTTAAAGAAAACTGTGCATAGATATGGGTAAATGTTGTAATGGAGCAACAGCAGCAGGAGAGGACTTACTTAATTGCAAGACTGGTAGTGAAACCGTTCATTTTTGGTAAGTGTTACAAGGCTCAAGAGTCTGTTTTGTAGATCCTGAGATAGGATAGAAGTCCTTTCTCTTCCAGGCTAGCCTGTGAATGTCAGAGCTTTTAAACTTTGTCTTGTATTTTGTACTTACTTAGGGTGAAAAGACAGACTGATGGAAACACAGCTACAAGGTTCTGCTAAATTATATGATGGAATTTGATAATATTTTACAGATTTTGCAGAATTGTAGAGTCCTTAGAGTTGGAAGAGACCTCTGAAGGCCATCTAGTCCAACTCCCCTGCAACCAGCAGGGGCACACCACAGCTGTATTTCCAGCGGATTCTTCTGGGCAGAGTTGTTAAAGTGCGAGCATTGCCTAATGCTGTTACCTTTGTTTTTACCTGCCTCTCCAAGAAGAGAACAGCAGAAACAGTATACCTATCTCTACTTTGAGTGTTTTAAAAAAAAAAAAAAAAAAAAAAAAAAAGTTAAATAGTTAAATCATAAGAAGAGATCTGTATCAATTGCTTCTGATCATTCCTGGGTCTCTTTTGGCTGATCTTTTGCTTCTGTCACACTCGATGGAGTTTTCTTCAGCTGCAGTGCTGAAGCTTTGCAACTTCAGGTATTGTGGCTTGTTTTTTTCTAAAATGGTTCATGAAGACACTCCTAACTTCAGTCTGAGAGTAGCATATTAAGTAGTGTAAACTCTTCCGACCTTGAAACTGCAGGAATATATCCAATGTTTGCATTTGGTAAAATAATTCTGTATTGAACAGTACCATTTTTGTTCTATAACTGGTTACTAGAATAGTTAAACTTAGCAAAGAATTCATTTTCAAGTCCTGTGTTCTGAACACTAGACATGATTTTTCTTAAAGCTGCTTTGGTGTTCCCCAACCTAAGTGGTGAGCTTTCAATCCCAAGATCTTTGGCCTTTGTGGGTATCCCTTGATACATGGTGAATGGTAAGATAGACACGAGCCAGCACTGTGCCTTCACAGCCCAGAAAGCCAACTGTATTCTCAGCTGCATCAAAAAAGCATGGCCAGCAAGTCAAGAAAAATGATCCTGCCCCTCTACTCTGTACTGATGAAACTTCCTGGAGTACTGCGTTTAGATGTGGAGTTCTCAGGGCAGGAAAGACGTAAGCCAGTTGGACCATGTCTGGATGAGGGCTACAGAGATGATCTGACTGATGGTACTCCTCTCCTATGAGGACAGGCTGAGAGAGTTGGGACTGTTCAGCTTGGAGGAAAGAAGGCTGTGAGGAGACCTGATAGAAGCCTTTCACTATCTAAAAGGGACAGACTCTTCAGCAGAGTCTGTGGTGATAGGACAAGGGGAAATGGTTTCAAACAAAGGAGGTGAGATTGAGCTTGGAAATAAGAAGTTTTTTATAGTAAGTGTAGTGAAGCAGTGGAAGAGGTTGCCCAGAGAGGTGCAGCTGTGTTCTTAGAGATACTCAAGGTAAGGCTGGATGGGTCTCTTTGCAACCTGATCTACCTGTAGACGTCCCTGTATGCTGTAGTGGAGTTGATGTAGATAACATTTGAAATTCCCTTCAAACTCAAACGATTCTATTGTTCTATGCCATTTATAACATCATAAGCTAATCTTAACTTTGAAAAAATGCTGTGTCATTATATGACCATACTTTGTTTATAAATATGCAGTGGTTCTGTCATGTTTTGAGTAATATTTGCCATTGTGTGATACTCATTACTAGATCCAGCAGCTGATGACTATATATAGCGTGTATTTAAATAGGGTATTGGAATAAGGAAGTGTGACTTATAGCATGTATTTAAATAGGGTATTGGAATAAGGCAGTGTGACTTATGTGTTATACTACTGGTCGCTGGCATGTAGGACTTCCTCCTGATAGAGATGAGCAGAAGATAGATGAGACTTGAAGGGTATTTTCAAAAGAAGTAAGGTAGAAAAAAAACCCACTGGCATAGTTACTGTGCTTGAGAGAAAAGGAGGGTAAGGACAACAATTACTGTACTTTCAACTCTATTCTATCTATGTAGTTTTAAATAATTAGCATGAGTTATATATATATTTAATATATTTCAGACCCCATTTCTATTGTTCTACAATATAGTAATTGTTTCACTCATTGCCCTTTTTCAACTGCTTTACGTAACACTGCCATCTAGGCTACCTGCTTTGACCTTCCATCTGTGCCCGAGTTTCTGCCAGGCTTACTACTGCTGATCTGCCACTTGTACTTCAAATTAAACGGACTGTGACAGGCCAAGCTGAAACATTTCCATGGCTTTTTTTTTTTTTCCTCCACAGCAAAATAGGAATTGGGAGGACCCAGATATATATATTTTATGTCTGAACAACAATGAAAAATTCTTTATTAGTATGTATCTTAGGACAAAACAAACAAATATGTATAGAGGAAAGTAATGTTTAAAAGAAATGGACTTGTATGATAATAAGTTTTAAGAGAGATCTGTAGTCTAGAGGAGCAAAAATTAACAAAGAATAGTCTTTGAATTCAATCATCTACCAAGGCATTGTATTTTAATATGGTTATCATGACTGCATTCGGGACCTTCCAGATAGGCATCCCAGGTATTTTTGTTTCTGAAATTGCATGTGTGGTTTGAGGCTATGTTTCCTTCACATTTTAAGCCAATCTGATTCACTTTGTCCTGCACTTCCTTTTGCTAAATGCTCCTGTGCTGTAGGCATGTGTGGGGTGGCTGTCTATTTATCCCCACTGCTTTGTATTGTCTGAGGGAGCTGAAAAGGCAGTCAGTAAATTTACAAAGCACATCAGTTCTAATTCAAGATGAGGAGTAAGAAAAACTCAGCTGGGGATTCAAGAAACGCAACAAGCAAATGCAACAGTGCAGTGTAGGGACCCTGTATGCACCCTGTATAGTTTTCTTCAGAGAAATTACAGATATATATGTGCTGTAGTTATACCTAATTGATAACATAAATAACTATTTGTGTAAACATCTGGTAAGTTTCCCTAAGGTATAGTTAGAAAGCAGTCATTTGATGTTTTTCAGCTAGTAGTTCTATCAACAAATTATAGGCAGAGCTCAGTGGATCAGTTATTCATCATTGACAAGATTAGCAAACTAAAGGGTCAGTTAGGCATTTAATGTTTTCAGTTTTGGACTCAGTGAAGTGTTAACCTTGGCTTTTGCTCTGCTGTGGGAGGACGTTTCCACTTGTTTTAAACTGCAATTAGATGTAAAACAAGATTTTTTTTTTCAGTGCCTTTCAAAACTTTTTACAGTGGTTGCTGAGGATTTGCAAGGTTGAAAAGTGTATATTTAACTGAAGTTAAATGTAGAGCTAAGGTACACTGTGAAATAAGATAACCGAAGGAGAAGTTGCTCTTCTGTGTTGGAGCTGATGTAGCAGCTCATTGTCACTTAAATACGAAGAGTCCATTCTGTCCTTCTCCTTTCTTCTCTCATGCAGTCAGCTGGATAAGTGTTCACCTCCCTTTTCCTTGAACAAACTTGTGAATCCCTTTGCTGAGCATTGGAGTGTGAAGGCCAAAGAGGCAGCTGAGTTGATGCAAAATAAAGAGTGTGATGGCTGGGAAGTGATGAAGTGATGAGGGGGGGAGGCAGGGAGAGAGCAGGTTCATCTTCTGGAAATAAAGTGGACTTTAAGGTATATTTTAGCTGTAAATTGCAATATCTCCTGAAAAAAAAAATGCATTAAGGCATCAGAAAGATGAAAGGATAGTTTCACAAAAGAAGATAAACCATGATCCGAGTGCAATAACGAGGCAGGCGTTCAAGGACAGTGCCTCGACCAAAAAGTGAACAGACCTACAGTATGAGTGAGGCAAGCATGGCAGGTCTGGGGATGGCAACCACAGTCAGGTGAGAGTCCAGATCATTGCACACGTCTGTGTAATGAGACAGGTCTGAGATAAGGCTGGGAAATCGAATGAGCTAGATAGGTTTGATTAATTATAGAGGGGGTAACCAGGGTCAGACACAGTTAGACACAGGGATCACTAGGCAAATTCCATAATGGTGTGGTGGAGTTTAGGTCAAGAAAAATCAGTGTATGGACCAGGGTCTGGAGCAGTGAGTGGAAACAGGCAGAGTCACTACACTGCTGCAGTGTTGGTTTCCCAATAGTAGCATGTGATTGGGTCTGAGAAGTTTTGAAGCCCAGTGTCTACAGAACTCTGATCTTGACTTTGTTTTTAGATAATACAAAGTAGGCAGGACTTAAAGTCTAGATTCTGACCAATACGTAGCAT